TTCTCAAGTCAAATTTTTACTGCTCCAGATAAAATACTACTTAGTCATTAGGGGTGGCAGTTAACAACCAAACTCCACCCACCACCAGGGGAGGCTGACAAGGAAGACAGTACAGAGTTTTACTACCATCAGTAGACTCAAGGCTTTCTATGCATCTCAGTTTTTCATACTAAACTACTATCAAATTAATACTAATAACCAAAATGCTTGCTCTTCAAAGATTAGCAAAAACATTTTCTTTTAAGATCTTTATAGTAAGCAATATTTTAACAATTTAAAATCATAAAAGAGGTTTTTTTTAAGGCTATCATAGTTTGCTCTCCTTTCCCCATGGTATTTGGAGTCTCCTAGCACAGTCATTATGCACTGTACATGCTCAAGAAATAGTTGTGGAAAAACACACACACATTTTCTATACTGTCATAATGTTAATAACTCTATACAAGGGGCACAGAAACTCAGCAGTTATTTTCATTGATTATTTGATAACAAAGCATAATAAAGTTTGATGATGCTTCAATGCTCAGCTTACATATGTGGTTTTAGGATATATACTAATATATTTCAAAGGATAGACAACAGCTTAATTGAAATTAATAATTATGTGGAAATAACTTGTCTGGAAAGATTACAACTGCCCAAAAACATCAAGCTGGAAAAAATATTTTGCTTTTTAAAAGTTTTTAAAAATCTAAGTATAAAGATTTGTCCTTACTGTATGTTATGAAAACGGAGTTAGCTGTTTAGTGTCTCTAACTCCTTACTTCCACCAGACAACTCAAGATAAATGCCCAGAACAACCTTATACATATGGAGCGTCCAACAGCTTGTAAAAGTCTGTCCACATTTAATTTGATTTAACCTTCACCAGTGTGGTCCTAGCAAACTCATCTTATGGGCAACTAAGGCTCAGTATCGGTTTACACATCTAGTGAGTGATAAATGGGACTGACTGAAATTCAGCGCTTTAACAAACTCAAAAGATACCTAGAAAAAATATTGTAAGTGTGCGTACTGCCAACGGAACTTTGCAAGTGAGTGAGAATGAAGACTAAAGTACTACAAGCCGGCAGTAACTGCAGCTCACGCACTTATCTAAACCGAGTACCCGACTTCTAGGTCTGTTCCAAATGTATTTGGAACAACAATCATACTGAACTTTTAATTATTTCAGGTACCCAGTAAAGTAGCTCTGGGCCCGAGGCTATCAGAGACTTTTGCCTGGGGCTGGAGACGGAAGGCGCACCTGGGTGCGGAGCTCCTGGTTGTTGCTCTCGGCGCTCTGGTACAGCCGCTCTGTGTGGTGCAGCAGCTTCTCGATCTCCCTCACTTGCCGCTTGCAGCTCCGCAGCTCGCGTTCCAACTTCTCCACTTTCCGCCTCAATTGGGCCAGTTCAGGCTCGGGGGAGGGAGGTGGCGACGGAGCCTCGGAGGCCATGGCGTCCGGTGCAAGGCGGCCCGTGGGCGCGGAGGGTCTGTACTCAGACTGAGGCGGACGCCGGCGGGCCCAGGGCCCACGGGAGCGCGCAAGCCACGAAAGACGGCCTCAAATCCGACCGGCCGCGGCGGCCTCTGGCCATGACGCCCTGAAACTTGTTACCTGTAGCCGAAAAGGACTGCAGGCAGCGAGCAAGGGGACAGAAAATCAGAACAGCTCAAAACCCCCGGCTTTAAAACAGCAAAACTTTATTGGTAACTACCTGCCCCAGCGACTGAATGAGCCGCAGAAACGTTGGAGAAATAGGCGGCCCAGAGCAGCAGAAGCTAGAAGGATCCGGCGTCTCTAGGCTGAACCGGAAACGATGGCACCGGCGGTGGGCGGGGCCGAGACGGAAAAGGAAGCGACGGGAAGCGGGAAGGGCCGCACGATGCACACGCGCACCTCCCCGGCCAGCTGCTGGGGGCTGGGGGCGGTGCTTGAGACCGTGCCGAGCATGTGTGAAAGCGCCTCCAGTAGCCTGGGAGAAATAAGGAGAGGAGTCTTCTGCGCGCCTTCTGGTCTCAAGCTTTTTACTTTTGCTCACTTTCAAACCGTTTGCAAACTTTTTGCATAGAGTTCACTTCCAAGCTCCTCGTTTTACAGATGAGAACCATGAATCTCCAAGAAATGATTTGCCAAGATTTATAGAATTAATGCTAAACCAGGGCTGGAACGTAGTGTTCTGGTCTTCTGCTTACTTAGTAATTCTGCCGATTCCGTGAGTTTAGACACCCAGGAAAAGAAAGAAAGTTACTCTGACTTGCAGAGAGGAGCATCCCTGGAGGGAAAATAAGCAGCAAGATTCTATGGAAGCAGGAGAAAAAGATTCTCTGTTTCAGTAGACCTATTTGATGTTTCGTCTACGGGTAACTGGCATTTGTTCACCAGCCTTTAAACTGAGGAGGGTTTCTTGGAACACACTTCTTTCCTTAGCCAAGGTCATTTAGAATTAGAGCCTGAGCTCAGAATGCTGGGCCTGAGACCTACAGAGGTCGGCGGCTGCCTTGCTGGTCTTTCCCAGGGCCCAGCACAGCGCCTACCACAGAGCAGTTGTCCTTAAATATTTTTTGAACGGGAGAATGCTGTTTGATGGCCTAGTTCAGTAGCCGCTCTGTGCGCTTTTTGTCCCGTGCACCCCGTACTAGTTCAGTGAGCTCTCCAGCGGAGACCTGCTCTTTCTATGTTCTGCACACATTATTCCCTAGGCTTTCAGAACCGTTCCACAAAGCACCCTATAGTCAAGGAGACAGTGATCGTCTAGCCATGAAAGGATATATAATGAGAGAATTCAGTATGTTCTCCCCAACGTGGAATAGACAAGTACTGCCAAAAACAAACAAACAAACAAAAAAACTGACTTACCTATGCATTATGACTCTAATCAAGAATTTATCCAAATCTTTTCAAATAAAAGCTATAGTTTCCACTTTCTCCACCTTTGGGAGTTAAGGAATCCCATAAACACCGTAAGGTAACTTTAAGGTAGAGGGCACTTCCTAGCTCATTTTACAGAGGAGAAATTTCGAGGTTTAACCATTAATTATAGGATGAATCAATAAGGTTATTAGCTGTTACTTGAAGCAATGTTTCTTTGATTTCTCTTAAAGGTAATCCATTTAATACTAAATTCTGACCTCATGCTACAAGTCTATATAGCTTACTTATGACCATTAGTCTAGAAGAAAAATGACAGTTTTTTTGAGAAAAATGAAAAGCCTTGTATGTCAGATAGGCATTGCATTAAGATGCTAGTAACAGAACTTAGTCTTCTACAGTGGCTTATTAAACAAATTAGGAGGTTATTCTGCTACACTAAAGAGATGGGCTGTCTGGAACTGGTATGGTGGCTCTACCAGATCTTTAGAGACCCAGGCTCCATCTTCCTGCTCTGCTATTCACAGAGCTTATTTCCAGCTTCTAGGTCAACTCATGGTACAATATGGTAAGGGACAAGAAAACTTTCCCAAAGCCCCACCCAGTGACTTCTGTTTGTATTTCAATACCCAACTCTTGCTGCAAGTGGGGCTGGGAATTGTGTATGTATGTGTGCTATCTAAGCTGGACACATTATTCTCTCTAATAATAAAGGGTTCTATAAATATGGAAGAAAGAGATAATCCATGTTGAGTAGGTAAATAGTCTTTGCTACATCTACGTTTCAGATCAAAAGACATTTAGTATAGTAGGCAGGTCCAGTGACCTAGGAAAGCATACTACTTGATATCCTTCACAATTTGACTTTGTTTTGTAATGTTTTTCTTAGTTATTATTTGGTACCTTGGATTGTAATCATACTCCTTAGTTCACAACACATTATCAATATTAGCCCACGGGTGACTCTTTTTCTGGTTTTGGTTCTCTTTTTTGTCATTTTGATTTTGGTTTTGGTTTTAGCATTGCTCTGTATCTCCACTACCTCCTTTCTGTCACTATGAGCACCTACACTCACATGTCTAATATATGTCCTTAAATATAAAGCTATGCTTATCAAGTATGTTTCCTGCATATTTCTTTTACATAAATAGTATTTGGTTTTAAATCTTATGCTGTTTATTTTTTGCACACTAAAGATGTTTTAAAAATTCGTATACACTGCTATATATACATCAAAGTGCTACATTGTATTCCAAGGTACATGTATATCACATTTTATTTATCCATTACCCTAGTTGTCAACATCTAACTTTTCTCCAATTCTGTATTAACACAATTATTGCCAAAATGAAAAACCTTGTTATACCACTTTTTTGACCTGTGCATTCATTTCTCTGAGATATATCTAGCAAGACATGTGATCTCTGGTTCATAGGGCAAACATTTAATTTCACCATGTTCTGCTAGATTGCTCTTCAAAATGGCTGGACAACTTTGCCACCTCACCAACTGTGGACAAGGAGTTCTGTGTCCTCCACATACTCTCCAATACCTAATATTAGTCCCTGCAGTACTTTTCACTATGAACATGATGAGGTATTTCATCGTTGTTTTAATTTGCAATTCTCTTGATTATCAGAGAATTTAATATACTTGTTGAAATGGCTATTTAGACTTTCCCTTTTGTGAACTTCCTATGTATAGTTTTTTCTTATTTCTTTCCTATTCTTTTGCAGTTCTGTCTATAATCTAGATAGTAATCTTTTATCAGTTTTAGATACTGCAGATGTCTTCTCCCAGTCTGTCACATATCTGTTAAATTCATTTATGGTGTCTTTCATTGAACAGAAATCCTTAATCCTTTTTATGGAGTCAAATCAGTCTTTATTTTATTTACGTTCATTTTATTTTATATGTTTTATGATTTGGGCTTTTGAACCTTATTCGTGAAGCCTTTCCCCACCCCTGTCATATTTTCTTTTATAATGTTGTAATTTTAACCTTCACATTTAGTTCTCTACTTTAACTGGAGGGATTCAGATGTATTTTTCCCACAGACATTTAGCATCTATCAAGTTCCCGTATCTGGGTCTCTGTCCGAGCTCTCTGCTTTCTTCTGTTTGTCTACTAGCCAGAACATTTCTATATTCATCACTTTGGTTTCATAGTGTATCTTCATATCTGGTGGGGCAAGTTCTCACTCTGCTTTTATTTTTGAAAATTGACTTATTCATAAACCTCTATTTTTCCATATAAATTTTAGAATGGGTTTGTTGATTTCCTTAAACAATCCAATGGAATTTTTATTAAGATCCCATTGAATGTATAGATTTATTTGGGAAGAATTAACATAAAACTTAACTACATTAAGATATCCACATACATTCTTTTTTTTTTTGGCTCCACTATTCATTCGTTTTTGTACTGTCATAGAGTTTTAATACTTTTTTTGAAAAAAATTCTTGGGCATTCTTTCTAAGTTATTTCCAGGCACTCTTGTTTTATTGTGGCATTTAGAGGAAACTGTCCCGACGCAGTGAAGGATTTTAAAGACTTTGAACCAAGAACAATAAATACAGCAAAAGTGACTTTAGTTAAGGAGGTTCTGTTTGTGGAAGTTGACAAAACTGATGTTGAAGAGGTTTTGGCATTCCATGACCAAAACCTGACCGGTGAAGAGTCATCCAGGAACCAACTGTGAAGCACTCGTGTGGGCTTTTGCTACGAATGACAGTGCTGTGATGACTGCAGAAAAGCACGACTTTAATTCTGAAAGGGCACGTTGGTTTAGGGCAGGTTTGCAGGGTGTTTTGAGTGCCTACAAAGAATTGTATGATAGGAAAATGCAGGAGGCCAAGCAGTCATGCATACTATCATATTTCAAATCTTTCACGTCAGCCGCATGAACCACTGCAGACCACAAAACTCAACATCAAGGCAGGCAGACACAGAAGGTGTAGACGTTAGTGACCTGCCTGCCCTGATGGATTTAGATGATGGGATGTTAGTATGTGACCCTCCTCCTCTCTCTCCTACCTCTTCTGTACCTCCCACCACCCCAACCTCCCATGACTCAGCCTAACACACCATCATCCCTACCTCTCAGCCTTCCGGTGGGCTTGCTCTCTTCCCTATTCTGATAAGTGAAACTCTGCTGTGTATACATTATTTCTACTTCATCCAGCCTGTGTATTTATCATATCACTCCTGCTTTTACTATAGGTTTTTGTTATTTAAGGTTTTATGTATGATTTGGTATGATTTGGCAGGTTATTTATTGCATCTGGGATCACTCAAACATTTTTCCATATAAATGAATGGTGATTGCTTCTTCACTTTACATGATTTCTACTTATGAAAGCATTCATAGGCACACTCTACTTTCAGAGAGTGGGAGAAACCTGTATTCCACAACAGAGGAATCCTATCAATTAATTAAAACCTGACTTATACCCAATTTCTTTTAAAATATCATCAATTCTATATTTAATGAACACTCCACTGGTCATAATTTATGTTGAATCCGGTGGGTAGCAGACTCTCTACTAACTGATCCTACTGTTTGATGTCACACAAGAATATCTGGGGAGCCATAGCATTTCAGTAGTCCTGATTTATTGGTCTATATTACTTTTGGTCAATTGACCATTACTTATTTCCTTTCCCTGGAGACCCAGGAAAAAAATGGTGGGTGTAACACTAAAATCGGGGTAATGATAAAGGAAGGAAGCCAAAGGAAACCAGGCAAGCCTATCTTCTCCACACCCAGCTGAAATTCTTACACTCCTTCACCTTCATCGTATAAAAAGCAATGATATGTGTAAAGTGCTAAATTTAGAACCTGGTACATGGTAAGTTTGCAGTGGATAGTAATTATTATTTTCTATTATTGTTTCACTTAAAAATACTTATATAGTGCTTGCTGTGTACCAGACTGTTCTAATTACTCTACAAAGATCATTCATTTATCTG